TTTCACACTTGCATAAAGAAAGTGAGAACCGAACCTTCTCATAGTATTTCTTATGGTCATTTGATGCAATGAATAAAAGTGTGCAACACTTTGATGAAGTCATCAGAAGCATGATCTAACAATTTTTGAAGAGAAAAAAAGTTTATAAAAATCTTTTTAAATTAAATTGGATCAAACATGTAGAGAATAATTAAGAATATAATGAATAAATCAAAGGAAGACGAAAAAAAAAAAACTCTTTATTTCGTACCTTATTGATGGAAATCCTATGCTCATCTCTATATCGGTTGAAAGTGGCCACATAAAAAAAATCTTTTTAATCATAAAAGTTGAGTCTTGCTTCTTGTAGCGAGGATCCTAATGGCTTCTTCATAGTTTCCTTTCTTCTCCTTGACAGTTTCATGAAGAATATTAGCATGAATTTGTGTCAATTTCACAGTGATTTCATCACCCTCATACCTATATGAGCTCACCAATCCAACCAAAAGCAGCTAAAAATCAAACAGAAACTCACACCATTTGCACTCATCAATAAACTTCATTCATTAATATCAAAATAACTCAAAATTAATGCAGATTTTATTATTAAACCATCTATAACTTTTGATTGGTTATACTAGGCATTATAGGCATTGGAACAATGCAACATGAAACAATGAGTACTTTATCACGATTAAGAAAATACAAGGTCAATGACAGGCCCAGTAGAATGAAAAGGAATGGCAGATGATAAACACACATTCACTCTCGTATAAACACACTCCCTTTGTTAAAAAAAAATATATAAAATGTTTAAATTACCCTTTAAAAAAAATGAAATTTCTAAATTTACACCTCCCTTCCCCGCACCCCCCTTCCCCGCACCCCACACTCCACACCTCTCTTCTTCCCAAAGCCTCTTTTCGCTTAATGTCATTAAGCAATATACTTTTACAGCCATTCTGAATAGAAAAAAAAAGGACTAGCCCCACCATAACTAGCATAAAAAAGACTCTTTGTCGGTGAAGGATTTGACTCTGGTAAGTATCCTTTATACTAAAGCTTCTTTACAATGATTTTCTTTTATATAAGTGCTCGAGTTAGGATTGTTGACTCGGAATTTGAAGTATACAATCCATTCCTGGCCGATTTCTTTCTCAATACCAGGACATCACATGCGTACATAAGGTTCAACCATTGCGTAAAAAGTACATGCATGGAATATTATCCTGTATCTGCATGTAAACTTTAGTCTGGAACGGCACTAGAACGGGTCGTTCTGCAGAAGAACGGCCCATTCTGATTGTAGAACGGCCCGTTCTGCAAGCAGTACGACCCGTTCTGCAAGTAGTACAAGCCGTTCTGCTTGTAGTACGGGCCGTACTGAAAGCAGTACAGGGCGTTCTGCTTGCAGAACGGGCCGTTCTGGGGCCGTTCTGTTGCAGTACAGGCCACCGCGTCACTTTTAAAATGGCTACCTTATGACTGATTTTAAAACCCCGATTTTAAAAGTCATTTTTGTACTAGTGTTTCTTTCCATAGAACAAGTAAAAGTATTTCTCTTACAAGACCACATGCTGACATTGCGCACCCCTCTTCTTTCTCTTTCTGGCACTCCTCTTCTTCTTTTTTTTTCCCGCACCTCGCACACCCCTCTTCTTTCTCTTTCTGACACTCCTTTTCTTCTTCTTCTTACTGTTACGGAAAGTTCTTTCCGGAATTATATAAAAATGTTCCAGAAAATACTTTCCATAATATTAAATTCTTATTCCGGAAAGTATTTTCCGGGAATGTTTTGTTATATAATTCCGGAAAGTACTTTCCATAATATTAAAGTTACTATTACGGAAAGTTCTTTCCGGAATTATATGAACAATAATTTTCCTATTCCGGAAAGTACTTTCCAGAATGCTAATGACTGTAAAAGTACTTTCCGGAATGCTAATGACTGTAAAAGAGTCTTTCTTATGCTGGTTATGGTGGGGCTAGTCCTTTTTTTCTATTTAGAATGACTGTAAAAGTATATTACTTAATGGGCTAGTCCTTTGTTTCTATTTAGAATGACTGTAAAAGTATATTACTTAATGACACTGAGCGAAAAGAGGCTTTGGGAAGAAGAGGGGTGTGGAGTGTGGAGTGTGGGGTGTGGGGAAGGGGGGTGCGGGGAAGGGAGGTGTAAATTTAGGAATTTCATTTTTTTTAAAGGGTAATTTAGACATTTTATATATATTTTTTTAAAAAAAATGGGGTGTGTTTATACGAGAGTAGAGGTGTGTTTATCATCAGCTAGGAATTAATGTTTATATTTGATTCAAAGCCCAATGAGAGGTAAGGGTTATATGTTCACTCTCAATGATGTAAACCACTACGTATTTCTGCAAAAAATCATTGGTCAACAACCTCAATTGATTCGTGCAAATTTGGATTGATTTAGGAAAGAAGCAAGATAAACAAATCAATTCAAAATTAAAGTCTCACTGAAGATTAGGGTTCTTTGATTTACTTTTGCCATTTGGAGCGATTAAGAATGAGTATAATTGTGAGGTGCGAGTGGTTGCGATTGAGGATGAGTGTAATTATGAGTAGTGAGTGGTGCGAGACGAGAACGAGACTGTGCGACAGAGATTGCGAGCAAAAGCGTATGCGTCTTCGTGGTTTGGAGCTCTATAAACCAAACCTTTAACTGAACTAAACCTTTGAAAAAATGGGTTCAATTTTTAAAATTATATTTTAAAAAATATATCTAGTTCATTTTTTTTATAATTGGTTCTAGTTTTTGAAAAATGTTTAGGTCTAGTTTTAAATACAATTCAATTCTTTTGGTGTTTTTAAACACCCTTAAAGATTGTTGGATCGGATTGAGTTTTGGATAGTTGATTCATAGAACATTATTTTTTGTTTACAATGGTTAAATTGTCCAATGGATGTCTAGAGTGGGAGAAAAGTGTTTCTTAGTGAAAGCTCTACTTTTTGAGGTTTGCATCTTCTTGTTTTTAATTGAGGAGAGAAAATTAGAGGTAGTTGGATATGATCTCGGAGATCCACATCTGGAGTTTGATGATCATCGAGGTAAAGGAAGAGTGAGAATCTTATTCTAGGATGTGAGTTATCTATGAGGTAGTGAGATTGGGTTGTGATCCTATTTGTTTATGTATGATGCATGAGGAAGGAATCCTAAATTTGTTTGAGATTGTAACCTGTATTATTTGTAATTCTCTCATATTTGGATTGTGTTAATAAACCATGTTTTCATCTCTAATTTGTGTGTCATTGGTGAATACCCTCCTAGTATAAAGTGTTGTGATGGTTGTGACTTGACATGTCCTCCTAGGCTACTCATGCCTTTAGGTTAAGATAAGCAATTTTTACTAACGCCACATGCATATAGTTTAGAGAGTCTTGTCATTGCATAATCATAGCATCCTCATTGACTATGAACTATTGATGAATGATGTGATATAAACCTTGATGTATCTTGAGATTAATTTTAAATATGTGTATGTTGTGTAGTTATATCTTGATTAGTTAAGTTGTGAATGCAATAATTGTTGAATATGTGGGATAATTATTGTTGTGATATACACGTTTATTGTCATAATTTGACATTAATTGTATAGATGCAATTGTTGTTTATTTGTGTGTGACTACCATAACTTATACCGATAGCTAGAGTGTATAGTTGTTTTGATGTACAATTGCAGGTGAACCTAACTATGATAATGTCTGAGGAGTAGTTTGAACCTTTTGTTGAGAATGTTTTGGTAGGGTATGACATCGGAACAATAGTTAGAAAATTGTTTTATGCTAGTATTTGCATTAGGGGTATATACCTTAGTAGATGAATTTGTTTTTAGCATCAATTTGAATTCCTTTTAATTACTTTGGATTTGGTTTTGTTATTGTTTAGTCTTTAGTTCAATGTGATACTTCTATCTAAATTTTAATTTATTTAAGAAGATTATTCAAAAAATATGTCACAATTATTCATATGATGCATGTGAGATAGAAAGTGTCTCAATGTGTTTCAAGTGCTTGGAGAGAGGTCATATTGCCTCTTAATACTTCACCAAAAAGACCATGATCTTAAGGGGCATAGATCAGTACAGTAGTCAAGGGGAGAATACATCTTCCTTCTCCACCTCCAATGACAATGAGATGAACAAGCGGTTTGGTCTAGTGGTGAAAGTACTTATCCATGTGATGATGATCTCTTGATGATAAGAATGCTTCTTGGATGTCAACCTTTTCGATGATAGGATTTGCACTCATATTTGTTGAGTGTGGCCACAAGTTTTGCATACCCCATAGGATCTATTAGAAAATTGTTAACAAAAAAGAGACATGAAGGTGGGTTCATGGAGTTTTTTGGAATAAGATGTTGACTTTACTCAAAGAAAAATTCTTTTGACCTCATGAGAAAAAAATGTCTAAAGACATTATTGTAGATATATATCTTATTTATAAGCAAAGTCTAAAGTAATACCTCTTAATATATACACACTTATACTCATCCATTTTTCCTTGGATTAACAGTATGATCTTTGTCCTTGGTCTTCTTATAACCTAAAGAGGAATGGTCTCCCTTAAAAAATAGCTCATTTTATTCCCTACCACAAGGTAGATGATGCTAGCAACATCTCTAGACTATTTTTTAAGAAAGTGATTAGTTTGCATGGTTTACTTAAAACCATAATGTCAAATAAAAATGTTAAGTTCCTTAATCACTTATGAATAACTCTATGAGAGAGTAGGAACCAAACTATTTTTCTTTATTACCTATCACCCACTAACTAGTTGATAAATAATAGTGAATAGATCTCTTTCTACTATATTAAAGGCAATTTTAAAAGATAACCACAAATCTTGAAATAAATATCTTTCTCACATAGAGTTGGCATATAACAATGATTTATAAAACCACCAGTTGTCTCCTTGCAAAGTTGTATAGGGTTTTAACTCTGTCACTACTATAGATTTGATACATTGCACTAACAACTTTTTTTCTGGCATAAAAGAACATCTAGGGAAGAATTCACTAAAAAGTTGCATGAGAAGATTAGAATTCAAATACAACAAACAAAGATATATGTTAAGTACAATAATAAGAGGAGAAAGAGATCATCTTTGAAGAGAGAGATTGACTTTGACTTCACCTTAAGAAGGGTAAATTTCCTTCTAAGAGGAATCCCAAACTCAACCGATGAGGATATGGTACTTTCCAGATCCTCCAAAGAATCAACTACAATGTACATATGTTAGACCTCCTAGAGTAACTATCACAATTGACCCTAACACAAATCCTACGCCAGCTAATGCCGTAAGCATCTCGATTTATATCACTCGAAGTAAATGATTATATGACTTGCAACAAATTAGTTCATCTATTGCTTTATGTTGCAATTTGGTAATCAATCTCAGGGTGTTGAAAAGTATCATCCGTTCTCTTCATCGCCGGCAAACGCTCTTGAAAGTTTGCAAAAAGGGAAAATTCTCATTCACGAGTTCAAACGTTGAATTGATTCCAAAGGTAAACTCTCATGCATTAATTACTAGATACAATTAAAAGAGTTCCAGGAGATTGACAGGTTTAGCCTAATAAACTCCAAAACTAGATTAATATCTAAAACTTGGGGGCAAAAATGAAAACCGAAGATAATCAAAGAACTATGCTATTACACTTGGTTTTCAGATCCTGATCTCCCACCACCGTTCATAAACAAGTTCATCCAGCTAAGAATATCAATCAATTATGCTAAATGTTAGACTTCGACTCCAGCGCTAAAAGTATCTTCTTTCTTGGTCCCTGGAAAAAACAAAGCATAATGATAATGTGATTACAAATCAAAAGTAAGAGCATAAAATGACAGAGGTAAAGTAGGGCAGAATGAAGCTATAACATCAAGATGTTAGTCAAATACTTTATCATAGACATACATTAAAAAGGCCTTGTCTGAATTTCTTACTCAATGAAAGACCAACTCCTCCAGATTAATGAATAAATATCATAACTTCAATGTAAAATATAAAATCAGGATAAGTTAACCAACTATAAATACTTTACAAAACAAAACTTAAGTGCAGTATTATAGGTACTTTTGGTGCTGTTTTTCCATCAAAATAAACACAATTAGAATTTTAACTCAGTAACTTATGCGGACCTTAAAGGTAGACCTTCATTATGTGGGTTACCAAGATGAAATTTTAATTTTGATTGGAGTATATATAATCAAAAGCAACTAAGATATCGTATCTGTCTTGTACTACTCAAATTGGGACACAGAAACCTCTTTTAATATACCTAGCATTTCAGAGGAAAATCATACCGTGAAATCACTAAAAGTTGGGAAGACACAATAAACTAACTTCATCTTATTTCGACAGGAGGAAAAAGAAATCACAGACAACTTCCTTCATTACAAATAACTTACTCGGCTATGTATCCAAAAAAAAAAAAAATTTACTAAGCTAGAAGACAGATACATATGCAAGGAGGCTAGCAAAGGCAAAATACAACCCTATAACTAAGAATATCAAAAATAAAAAGGGAAAAAAAAAGTAACCAGAAATACGACATGCCAATCTCTTAGGGGGTCTAAAAAAGATACACCTCTAAAAACACTGTTAGTAGAACACCAGAAAATGCTACATAAACTGCCGTTTCCAACTAATGATCGATAAATACTCTATCCAAGGTTGTTAAGTTTAAGTAAAACTCAACTTGTAAACTTAAATTGTAAACTCTTAAGAGCTTATCTCATTAAAATAATACTAAAATTTTAGCTTTATGCATACCAAATAACAGAACAAAATATTATACTGACTATAGGTAAAAATTATCCAAAAATAAATAAATAAATAAACAAAATAATGAAAATAAATCATAATTCCATAAGATGTTAGTGACAATGTATCAAATCACAAGCACAAAAAACAGATCATCATGAATAACACTCTGCACTTCATCAAACAGCAAACAGGGTAGCAGGGGCGATCTCGAACAGCAGCAGCAATGGGCACCACATATGCGTTTGCATTGAGAACAATTTTGGAGAAAGAACAATTTTAGGTTGAATGAAATTAGAGAACTTAAGGGGGGTGGGGGTGGGGGTGGGGTTAAAACGACTTCAATAACAAGACGATTTGGGGTGATTCATCAATTTTTTTAAAAAAAAATTAAAATTGAACCCAAACTAGCAAGTTTAACAAGTTTGTTTCTGAGTTTACACGATTCTGAGTCTACATGCGAGTTGTCTCATTTTTGGTTTGTAAGCTCGTAAACTCGTACGTGTTTATGATTTGACACAGAAGTTTAACAACCATGATTCTATCATCTATTTCCAGCCAGATACACCAGATAACTACAAATTGAGAACAGCACCAAAGCCTCTTAGAATATCTACTATTGCCAAATCCTCTAGAATTAATACACAAGAACTCTAGGAGATCCTTGGGGTAAATCCAATCTTTACCAAAAGCACTAAAGGTTATTCCACAAAAAGGAAACTACTGAGCCTCACAAAACCAAAAGACAAATAGTTTCAGAATTAAATCTGTACATCACACAATACTCAAGAGACAAAGCAATTAGAGGTATTCAAATTTGAAGCAAATAATTGGCATTAATTCTTTTTAGAACTGCTATGCATACAAAGGTTTTGACCTTAGAGAGAGTAATTGATTTATTAATGAACTTATATAAAAGGATAGAGACATTGCTGGGAAATGAAGTTTGACACTGAAAATAGGATTTGCAAAAGAAACAAGTGGCAACACTTCAAAGATTACTATCTTTTCTTCAGTTCTCTAACTCTAGAAGCCACCAATCTTTTCTATCCAGCAGTCAACCTCTTAAGCCACTGGACCCCCATCTCCAACAAGTGGCAATATCTTACACTGGTGAAAAATAATTTTCTTTTTTTATCCATTCTTTCTTTTCTTTGTTATCTTTTTTGGCAACCCCTCATTCTCTCAGTTCTCTTTCCTAGCAAACACTCCTTGTTCTCTTCCATTTTTATTCAGCCTTCTGCCTTTCTAGTTATTTTATTTTATTTCTGGACATCTGATTCTCTAATGTTATTATGTATAATTCTTAGTTGGTGTTTTTGTGTGAACTTCCATCAGCCATTAATAAAACTGTCGAGAAAACCACACAAAATGCATTAGAGATGTAATGAGCCTATCTAGATAAGCTTCTCCATAAGTACTTATAGGAGAAGGAAAAATAATATAATTTTTCCTGAAAACTAAAATTAACTTATGCATAAACAAATTTTAAGACGTTCTCTCATTAGTTTCTCCAAAATATGTTTTTTAAAATCCAATTCCTTTATTGATTTCATTTTTTCCCCCACGTATAAGTGGTAGAGGAATCTACCTTCGAGCTAGGAACAGCATCAGCATTGAGTACCTTGATGCCCAGATCATTGTTAGAAGGAGGAAATTTTAGGTTATGTTTTTCATTACATTGATAGCAGATGACTTCAGCATTTTCCATAAGCAGTCTTTCTATATCCAAGCAAGAAGATATGGAAAACACTATTAAAGAAAGAATGCCGGCTTTTTTGTTAATAATATATTCCCAACTGAAAATTCATCCAAGGAAGATACTACTAATTTGCTAAGAGAAAGGGAAAGAAAAGTCAAGGAACTGTACAATGAGATGTAGAAAAAGTGGAGACACTCAATTAGAAATTTGGTACTGGATGCTTGCCCTTAGAACAGGATTAAGAGATTGTGGTGAACTGAGGGCCCCTTAGCTACCAAGTCTCCTTCATATGGGTGATGTTCAAAAAGTTAAAAAAATCACAAAAAAAGGCTTATTAATGGGATATCCTAAGCTGGAACTTTAGAAATTGACTCTTGTAAGCTATCAATCAGCAACATATCATCCTCCATTTCATCTAGCACATAATCAGAAATCAAATGTCCAGATCAGCAATTTCTTCTACACAAAGGGATTATGAATCTTTAAGAGTTCACTTCCGATTCCAAAACCCTATGCTGGGGTACCTTCATTAGCTTCTTCTCCCATCTTTATTCTGCTTTCCCACTAAAACCTTGCATACATTGATGCTAATGATGGATGGCTGTTGAAGGCAAGCCGAAAGATACACCTTATGGAAGATGGTGTCACAAGTTGTCAGAAGACTGCCAGCTATACTAATATATACACAAAAACAGACTACTGAAGCCAAAAAGAAAAGTGTAACAGCATGAAAAAGAAGGGCACAAAATGCAAATAATAACAGAGAATTAGAACCAAAAAGATGAAGGGCATAATGCTGTTTAGCTTCCTCTATTGAGCTTCCACTCCAATCTTTTACTCAATGCTTCCCCAAAAACTACTAGCATTAAATATCTCCAATTTGATCTTCACCAAAATTGCAGGCAACAGAACCAGAGAAATCATTCCATCAACAACTAGCTTTTGAGGAGAAAGGGAAGTGGCAGGCTATGTATAGGAACCACACCAATATGAATAGGAGCTTTAGTTTCCATTGGTTGCTCCAACACCAAAGGATTTGCTTAAATTCCATCAGAAAAAGAATGTTCTTAGGAGTCCAGTCTTGGACCCAACTCTTTGCTGAATCAGTTGTTTTGCTACAAACCCAACACTCTTCGCCCATACAATTCTTGTCACCTTAGCCCCTCACTATTAGAATTGACATTAAAATATTGTCTAGAAAAAACAATTGCAGGTAAATGCCTAGTCTTATCCCAAAGCAGACACTTATCTGAAAGAGATACCGATGAAAATGCAACAGTTACCCTTCACTCCAAGGTAGTCAAAATTGCATGTGGGGATGTAGAATTGTCCAATTCTATGATTTCACCCTCCATATGCGTGTTCGTCCACACACAGAATCACTCAGAAGTAGGAGCAACAGAATTTTCGTGCAGTAATGTAGATAGGTAGAAATGGCGGAATCAGTTGGAACGACAGTTTTTACATCTCCCACTTTTCAAGGTTTCCATTCAGTTTCTCCATGCTTTTTTTGGATAGCATTAGTTTTTTTCAGCAATTTCATTTTCGGTCAAATATTATTAGGTCCCTTTTTCATTTTGGACTTAATAGAAATTTAGCCCATAGCCCAAACAAAACCTATTCAGTATTCTCTAAATCCTAATTCCTAATCAGTAATCACTAATATAATTAAATCAGCATTTGAAAGGCCTCAACGTGAACATTCAGCACATTAACAGTCCACTGTCCACATATGCATGATTTTCTTTCTTGTTCTTGTTGGTCATTTCAATTTTGCATGGAATTTAGATATTGACTTTATTATGCTTATGATATGTTACTATGAATTTAAGCTTAAATTAAGTATTCCATGTGTTATGATGGCCTTTTATACCTCTTATTTACACTATGCTAGATGCATATATAAGCCTTGCCCCACTCAAATGAGCCAAACTACCAAAGTGCAATATATATTGCATATTGACACAAAAAAAGGTCCATTTAACTTATGAAAGATGCAGAGTCTAGGACACATTTCAAGTTACTGGTGTTTCTATGACAAGAGTCACATTATAAATGGAACTGCAAAAAAATTCCATGGGAAAGAGACCAACAGGAAAAGTACACAAGTTCGATACTAGCTCAATGCGTACCATTGGTATGCCCATAGCCTTGAGATCTTCATCAGTCATATGATTGAGTGCTGTCATATCAACCTGAAAAACAGTTATTACATACAAATGTTAGCCCTTGATAATCAAATTAAAACCCAGTTAAGACAATAAGCTTTCTCAAATAGCAAAGAAAAAGTTAAAAAAATTTATGACATACTTCTTCAGCCTGAAAAGTTATGAGATACTTTTCGAGACCCAAGGACTGCAAAAAATCATCAACTGAATTACCGACCTGCAAAACAAGAGCATGGATTTTTTTTCCCTCTATTTAGCAAAAAAGTAATAATTTCATATAGAAATTTGGAAGAAAAAAAACGGATTTAATTTTGCCAGGTAAGAACATAGGAAAATTACATTCACTTAAGCAGAAAATATGAATTTACAAATTAAAATAAATAAATAAAATCAAATAGAGTCCACACAATATGGCCACTAACAAGTAATTAACAGTTTAACATCCGAAACTACTATTATCTTGATGTGAACTTAAAGAAAATTATTAATATTCACCATTGTAGTACAGGATCTGTTGTATTATATATAACTTTGACAAGATATACATCTTAATCAACAAAATGTGTGGATTGAATACTAAATCAACGCTTGATTTCTTTTCACCTTCTTTCGCTAGAAAAATTCAAACACTGCCCTGTGATACCATATTACAGCTCACCAGTGATACCATATTGCCCAACACATACTAGTCCTTGTTATATGCAAAACTATGTTTGACAAGGTCCTGTAGTAGTCAATTCATTGATGTCTCCTAGTTTTGAAATCATGGCATTTTAGGAGTTACTAATTGGGCTATCATACTCAACCAAATCTGAATGAACTTAATTTTGAGTAAATAAAATGATTATAATATTGGTACATACATAAAAGTAAAAGAATATATAATATATACCTTTTTTATCCAGAGGAATTACAATGAAGATAATAAGATTCGAACCTAAGACCATGTGCATACTACCCTTATACCTCAACCTCGCCACCATTAGGCCGACCCTTGTAAAACAATAGCTAGAATATATAACATATACTTTTATGTTACATTATATAAGTATATAAGAATAATATCATAAAAATTGTTGCCCTTGTTTACCTGTACTTGGTTGGTACATGGTACTCTATTTTTAATACAGAATATATCAATATACAGTCTTGTTGCATTACACTAGCAGCCATCAATGCAATCTACCTACTCAAAGAACTTAACAGAAAGAAAATGAAACAGATTCCAGATCAGTTGTTTCAAGATACATGTCCAAGCATATCACAATACTCATCACCTGTTTAAAAGGAAATGCAATAGCATACAAAAATGTGTATAAGAATAGGTGATGATGGACATTACAAGCACTACGAAGTACGAATGATGCCAAAACAAGTTCTAATTGACAATTAAAAAATACAATAAAACAACAATACCTTGCGTGACCTTTTAGGAGCTGGGTCAGCTGGCCTTTTGAGCTGCACTTCAGGGGCCTCAACACTGACATTTTTGCTGCTTGGTTTAACAACTTTTGACTTTGGAGGGTCAGAATTTGTAGGTTGTGGTTTCATTGTCCCTGATAGCCTTTCACGGAGATCCCACGTGTTTGGAGCAGAACTCTTTCCACTCTGAGCTGCTGGTTGAAGACCTTTCCTTCGAAGCTTGAGGCGAAGATCTTGAGCACTAACTTTGCGATCTTCACAATCAAAAGCCATTAACAAACAGTCAAAGCCCATTAAAAGAACTATTGGCATCCAACAACAGTGGCAAGTTATAGTTGCATATGAGAATAGCATTATCCATACTAGTGATCCGAGGTTCATCATCGTGAAAGAGATCATGTTCCCACTTGTCATCTTGCCTCGACCTGAAATTTCCGATAGAAAAAATAACCTTGAATAAATAATAAAGTTATTGTCTCAATAAGTATTCAAACAGCTGTCGTGCTAGTAACTGAAACTTTTGAGTACCCAATCAAGTAGACTGAAAACAGTTTCTCAGAAGATGAATTAAACTTGGTTTCAACTTCCCATATGTACATTCTGACTACAATGTTTCTACCAAATATAATCACCATGATAATATATGATGATATGAAATTATATTTAGTTTATCCAACATAAGTTTTCTCTCTATGCAACAAGAGACAGCCAATGAAGCACGCTGAATGCAGACTAAAACTTGCTAAATGAACTAATTCATGCCACTGATATTCACAGAGTGATTGAGTAAAGGTAAATAACAAGAGAGTTTCATTCTGTGTATATACAAAGGAATGTAGTCACCCAAAAACATAAACTACAAATGACCTAAATGCCCAATTTTAGGCACAAGTTCATGGTTCAAATTTTCCTCTAGCAAAGCCAATGAATATGTTTAAGCGGAGAAGCAACAGAATAAATTTGAAATATCTTTCACACATCTCTGAAATCTAATAATACATCAGAGCAGAGAAGGAAAAATAAATAAATTCACCCAATATTTTGCAACTAGGCCATCTCATCATCTGCACTTCAGCATCACTTAACCAGAAATCTATAATTTTCAAGGGATTACTGATAGACACCCTCATACATGTTACTAAAGTCTATGAGAGGAAAAATAAAGGGAATGGAAGTGGGTTTGCGACTCGTTAGCAAGAGAGATGAGATTGAAGGGAACAACAACAAAACTTTATCCCACCAGGTAAGCTCGGCTACATAAATCACATGACATCTCTCTGCTCGATTAAAACAGAAGTCTTGGTGATGTTATTTACCATGAGTTCCCAACCACTTCCTCCAATGTCCTTGGCCTCCCTCTCATCTTTCCAGGACTAAACACCTCTTCTCACTGGTGCCTCCTAGGCCATCTTTGTACATGTTCAAATCACCCTAATCCATTTTCTACCATTTTTTCTCAGTTGGTGTTACATCAATCTCTATTCGTATATGATCATTTTGCATCCTATATTCCTATCTTTTCTTGGGTGGTCAAGCATTCATCTTAAGTCTCAACATTTTTATTTCTGCCACCTGGACCTCTTTCTCTTGTCCCTTTAAAGCTAAACAGTCACTACCATAAATGCATAAAGTATAGCGAAACATTTAACAGTATGATAAAACTTTCCCTTGAGTTTGGTTGGTACTTTGCAGTCACAGATGACCCTTGATACCTTTCTCCATTTTAGTCATCTGCCTGTATTGTATCCTTCATTCACATTAATATCCCCATAATGTGTAGTATTAATCCCAGATATTTAAACCTAGAAACCTAAGGCATGACATCTTCTCCCATGTTTTACTTCCATGTCAAATGCATGGAAAACTTCTTGCAACTTCCTAGATATGTGGCAGCTGAGAAGCTCCCATTCAACTGATCATTCTCTGCAAGAGGCTGCAGCTTCCCAGCCTTGATTAAACGCACCTGTACATATATGCCTATTCACCCATTGTACCATTTATCCGCACCCACCATATACCCTTTTTGTCTATAAAATAACACATCTGAAATCTGGTCGTAGTATTTGAGGGATGTCATGGATTTCTTTTAAGAATGTCATCATTCCTCGTACGAAACAAACATCTCCTTACTGATACCATACCCATGCAACCTAGATCCCCATCTCGAAAATAGTTAAATTGACAATCGGGAATTACATAACCTCTACACCCACCACCATCACAAAAACACATCCACAAACAATCACGTGATTTTATGATGTTGTTCCAAACATGCTTTAAATTAGCTTTAGATAAATGTCCACATGTTTAGTTCAACTTCGAGACATTGATTTTAGATAAAGCCACATTACACAGCTTCTGCATTGGATAAAAATAATTTATGTTCGCAACAAACTTGCTTTTAGAAATTTTACAAAAGCTCGCCCTAGCACACAAAACCCACAACAAACACACATAAAACATCAAAAATCACACAAAAGCATGAAGGAGTAAGAACTGAAACCTCTTGCCGGTGACTTGGCGTTGATGCTGCCGAGTAGAACTACTGACAACATTCCCATTAAGGCGTTCCTTCACGGACCTCCGTCCTCCACTCTCCACACGATCAGCGTACATCTTCTACGTTCACTCGGTTCGAAATCGGAAGAAGAATTGGCTCCAAAACTATGAACCCTAATTTCGCAGCAGAGAGAGAGCGGAAAACGAAAGGGGAGTAAGAGTCGCACGATTCGTGTAGGAAGGTGCAGGGTGCCGCAATGCGGGAAGCGTCGCAGAGAATTAAAACCCTAACACTTCCTTTTTTCCTTCGTCGCTAAAGAGTGCTGCGTACGTTTAAAGGAAAACAGTGGACATGGTTTTTCTGAGCGAATTGGCGTTCCAAAGAAGAGGAATAGGTTATAATAATCGAAGGATTGGAAAAGTTGAATGTTTGTGGCTTTGTTGGGTGAGAGGTTTTGTTTGCCAAAGAGAATGTGTTCGGTAAGGAAGGGGCGAAAGAAAGCATCTTCGATTTCGACTATTTATTTTGGCGCCCACGAAAAACACAACAGAATAGAAAAAGATTATTTGTTGTGACCTAAACCAATGTTTTAAAAGTTGATCACACTATTGAATCCATGGGTCAGAAGTCAAATTGATAAGTGAATAATTGAATTTCATAATCTACTCTCTATTAATTTTTTAAAAATATTGGTATCATATATATTATATATTATAAATTTTAATAAAATTAACATCATACGTTAAAGAAGTTTAAAAAAAACATTTTAGTTAATATAGGCCGGTCGAATTGCATAAATTAACATCATGTGTATAATTCTCATTCTTTCATGTAAAAGAGCATTTCTCTATACTAGTTGTATGACATTTAAGTGAGACGAATATAACATTTTTATAATTTTCATAACCATTATTATAAGTGTAAGATCGAAAAGAAAGTCTGAAGAATCAAAAGATGTTCTTGAATCTCTCGAGTAGCTATGAGTTTTTATGATAATAAAAAAATTTTCTCAAGAGATTATTTCATACGAATCAAATGTCACAATTCATCTGTAACACGAAGTGCACCAGACGAAACGCATCATCCAGATTAATGCCACATTTATTTCTCGTTATAATAACAAAATAGTCTTTAGGTTAAAAACCTATTTTGGTCCCTTATAATAATTGTTTGTTTCAATTTAGTCCCACTTTTATTTTTTGTCTCAATTTGGTCCTTAATAAATTAATTAGTTGCAATGTCGGACTTCCGTCCGAATTATTTAAACGGAGTTAACTGTTGGTCACGTGGATGCCACGTAGATGCATAGGTGGATGCCAAATTTCTTGAAAATACCTGGAACCAGAATGGGTCGTTCTGGGTGCACTCTTGGTGTGTTAATTTTGCATCTGAAACGGGTCGTTCCAGATGCAAAATTAACACACTACCAATACATCAGAACGGTCCGTTCTAAAACCAGAACGGGCAGTTCTAGGTTCAGAACGGGCCGTTATGGATTCGGAATGGCTCGTTCGAGAACGTCAACTTGTTAAGTGAGAACAATAGAATATTCTATATTAATTTTATTAAAAAATATAATAATTTTGAAAAATATTTTTTGATGGTAAAAATTTTAAAGTTACTTATTTTTATAAAATATAATTGTCTTATAAATAGAGTGATAACTTTTCCTTTTTCTCTTTCTATCTGAAGAAATATTTAAGTGTCACTTTATAATTTTTTTCAACTTATTTAAAATTAGAAGAATAAAATGATAAAAATTAATAGGATAAACATAATAAAATTATTAATTTATTTTCTTTTAGTGTCCTCTAAATTTTTACACTCATTTAAAACAAAAATATTTTATATGTTAATTTGAATTAATTTAACGAAGTATCATATGATTTTTAATTTTTTTAAAAAATTTATAAATTTGATCTATACATGAAAAGCTTTTTAATTTAACAATTAAATTTTTAAAAATTTGATATAGAACATTAATTATTAAGTAGAATAAATCTATCAAGACTTACTCTTGAAGTAAGTAAATTTTTTCTTCATTAAAAATGAAGATAATTTTACCACAAAATAAAAAACAATTAAACAATAAAATAAAATATA